GGCGTTTTATTAGCACAGCAACTCGCTGTACACCGGTTGTAATGCCTGCCTTCCTCGAGGCGGTGCAAGAAAATTTCAGGTTTCAGCGCGACCATTCAGGCCTGCTGATTGCCTCTGGCGATGGTTTTGTTTAGGATGAGCATTGGACTATGAATAAGGAATTCCTTGATCGGTTACAGGGATCGCAAAGCTGACGTGCTTCCCGACACAGTCCACACATATATCAGAAACACTCCGAACATCAAGCCAAATATCTTATTGTCATGTTATCATTTTCTTTATTTTTGCAGATTGTAATGTTTGTGCGCTGAAACAATGCTTATAGTTCGTACATATTTGCCTTGTGCCTTCATTCTTTTTGTATCGTGCTGTACCGTTGCTTATTGCTACAGTGACAGCCATGGTGGAAGCTATAATACTGTATCCCTTCCGCACTTCATGGGTGCCTTTCCTCTTTTTTCCCCTCTTTTTCCTCTTTCCCATTTCCTTTTTTCCCAGGCAAACGCACCTAATTTTTTTTTCTTTTATACATAAACACAGAATTGTTATATTTCTCACATAATATCACTTCGATATAAATGTTTATAACTTGTCATTAACCGCAAGTCTCGCAATGTGCGAGCACAAGGCTCCAGTTCCTTGTCATAGCATATCCTACATGACTCGTAGTAGAGCATGACTCCAGTTCATTCAAAACTAATTGTATGTAAACGTCCCCTAGTTTTTATATAACATTTCTTCTTTTTGTACAGTGAGTCACTACCGTACGCCCTTCCCATATCCCTCCTTTATCTCTCTCATCATTAACATTTCCTTTTTATTTAAACTCCTTTCCCACCAAACAACCCTTTTTCATGGGCCTCCTGTCTGACGTCATCTCCCATTTCACCGGAAAGGCTCACATTCCTTCTCTTTCGGGGTAATACCAACTTTCCTTGTTTAGACATCCCATTCTTTCACTCGGGATCTTCGTCATCGGTCGGGGTCTACTTTCGTCATCAGTCTTGTGCGATTTGAGTTCATCATCGTCAGTCCTCCTACAACGTCGTCTTCCTGATTCCACACCTAGGACACACCGAAGTGGCCTGCTCATCCATGTAGCCTCATCCCCCTACTCTGAATCCATGGCTGTCTTCTTGGATGTCGCCGTACGTAAGTCATAAAAATTCGCTATTTTACTCCTCGCACTCACAACACATAAACAAACGCACTTCGGTCCGCCGCACTTTTACTCGATAAAGCAAGAGTATAAGTATACAATGGAGCGTCAAATGAAGTAATAAGTGAAAAAAGTCAAAAGATGATATGAAACAGCAGCAAGTACTGTTAAGTTTTTAAATGACCAGATGCGTAGCACGACCTGCTAACAGGGACATGGGGTGAGCCTCTCCCCCTCCCGCTTCGCGTCCCTGTTA